TCTGCGCATGAACCTCCCTCACCTTCTGCGCATGAAACCCCCCTCAGCATCTACGCATGCCCAGATATGCCCAGTAGGGGCTTACCTTCTACCATGACACCATGGCTACCATTTTTGCATATTTCGATATACATTTTCCTGGGCTTTGACATCCGAAAACAGGTTAAACTGTATGGTAATAGTTGGGCTTATGGACCAGAAGGTTGGCAGTTCAAGTACCACATGGTTGGTGAGCTCCTGTTCTTGCCAACCTAGCAGTTCAAAAGCATGCAAATGAAAGTAGATAAATTGGTACCAATTCTGTGGGAAGATAAATAAGTAAATAAGCAAGTAAGTAAATACATAAATAGTAACTATATTCTTATATTTGATCAAGACCGCATTTAAAAGTCTGATTTTTTTTTAAGAAAAAAAATTAAGAAACCATTTCCCTCCTCCCTCTGAATAGAATACCTGCATTCAATTTTCTGATCTTGAATTGGCTCTAATAACAGTATTGTGTAAATAGGGATTTAAGCCTTTATTTTGCGATTAATAATATAGCAATATCACTTAGACTTATACACCGTTTCACAGTGCTTTACAGTCCTCTCTAAGCAGTTTACAGAGTCCACATATTGCCCCCAACAATCTGGGTCCTCATTTTACCGACCTCGGAAGCAACCTTGAGCTGGTTAGAATCGAACTGCTGGCAATGGGCAGAGTCAGCCTGCAATACTGCATTCTAACCACTGTGCCATCATGGCTCTATATATATCATATATCAGGAAACTAAGTATTTTGAAATAATCAAGCTATTCCTTCTCAGGATTGTGACCTTTGGCACTTTAAGGCAGTTTTTTCTCAACCATGCAGCAGCTTTAAGATATATGAACTTCAGCTCCCAGAATTCCCCAGCTAGCATGCAGGTTTTACAAGCAAAAGTACATTTTACTCCTGGACTTAATGGTTTCTGTTCTCTGAAATCTGCCTATGAGTATTGCTGTTTCTACTTTCATCATAGAGATCATAAAAATGTGTTCAGATAAATTATAATCCAACCAAAGGTTTTTTAAAAGCCAACAGGTGATTTTAATGAGCTGTTTAAAAAATACATTCAAATCCCTTCCATTGCAACCAGTGAGCAGAAAAGCAATTAGTTTTGGTTCAGTGTCCATATTTATGAGAAATAACAACAACAAAAAAACGGTAGCAGAAAATTTATCTTTCAAAGTGAGTTAAGGGATAATGCAAATATACCTAAGAATGAACATCTTCTTTGGCCAAATTATATAGTTATCTACTTGGGCATCCACAGGAGTTTAGTGTTTTCACTGCAGTGACTACCATGTTTCTCTGAAAATAAGACTCTGTCTTACATTTTTTTGAACCCTGAAATAAGTGCTTGGCCTTATTGCCATGCGCTCAAAAGCCCGATTGGGCTTATTATCAGGGGATGTCTTATTTTGGGGAAAACAGGGTAGATAACATTGCAGAAGATGCTATATCTCTTCTGCGTAGATGGGCAGCATCACAATGCAAGTAATCTTTGACTTACAACCAAAATTGGGACTAGAATTCCCATTGCTAAGCAATTTTATGACATTTTTGTCATTGTTGTTAAGCAGATCACTGTTGTTAAGTGAATCATGCAGTCCTTATGTGAATCTGGCCTCCCCCAATGACTGATTGTTAGGAGTCGGGATTGTCTGAACTAGCGATATAAATACATGCTGGTTGCCAAGTGCCAGAATTTTGATCACGGGACTGTGGGGATGCTCAATCAGTAGTGGGTTCCTCCCAGTTCGGCCCGGTTCCACTGAGCCAGTAGCGGTGACGATATGACGTCACTGAACCGGTTCTGCCCCCCCTGCCCCTCCCCCACGTTATTCTTATCTTTTATTTGGCCCCACCCCCAATCTATTGCTGCCTCCTGAGTCCCAGCTGATGGGCTATAAGGAAAAAAACTGTTTAAACTCTTCCGCAGGGCTTCAAAGAGCCGCCCTACAGCTGATCAGTGGTAAAAGGCAGTTTGGTGGTAGACCGGTGCCTCCAAAAACAAATGGGTAGACCGGTACAGTTCTGCAAGCAGTTAAAAGCCTGGTAGACCAGTACCTCTGCTAAATCCTAAAGAATTGTCACATGACCATCAAGCCACGCCCACAAAATAAGCCACACCCACAGAACCAGTAGTAAAAAAATTTAGAACCCACCCCTGTGCTCAATGGTCATAAGTTTGTGACCTGGTCGTAAGTCACTTTTTCAGTGCCATCGTAATTTGAATAGCCACTAAATGAATAGCAGTAAGACAAGGACTACCTGTACAAATACAGGTCTGTGTGATGTCCCTTCTTCTCTGGGGTTTCCTAGGAAAAACATTTTAGTGGTGCCCCATTTAATGAACCTTCTTGCCACAGTTGTTAAGTGAATCACAGCAGTTGTTAAATTAGTAACACGGTTGTTAAGTCAATCTGGCTTCCCATTGACACTGCTGAAAGAAGGTCCCAAAAGGTGATCACATGACCCCAGGACCCCACAACCACCATAAATATGAGTCAGTTGCCATGGGGATGTTGCAATGGTTGTGTGAAAAATGGTCATAAGCAGGGGTGAAATGCTCCCGGTATGGTTCACCCGATCCGGTAGTGATGGAGGCAGATGGTTTGGAGAACCGGTAGCAAAAATCCCTGCCCCCCCCCCATGCCCAGCTGAGCCACGCAATCATCAGAGGCTTTTAAAAAAAATTTAAAAGCATTTTTTCTACAACCTCTTCCACCAAAAAAAATGCTTTTAAAAGTTAAAAAAAAAGCCTCCGATGATCGTGTGGCTCAACTGGGATCGTCAGAGGCTTTTAAAAGCTTTTTTTTTTTTACAACCTCTTCAGCCGATTCTGGCTACTTTAAGTCTGTTCCATTTCAGATAGCAGCTTGGAAACTACTGATGTAAGACAAAAGAAAACAACTACATTCTTGTTGGAAAACAAGCACAGGCATGGGGTTGGGCAGTTTTACTTCCATCTCTCTGACTGACTGACCACCTGCAAAGTTTCTGGTTTTAGACCCATATGGATGGTTCCAGATTGGAAAGGCTGCTTTGGCAATTTTCAAACTCTGGACTTTTAACTCCCAGAATTTCCCAGCCAGCATGGGCTGGTTGGGAATTCTGGGAGTTGAAGTCCACATCTCTTAAAAGTGGCTCAGATTGAGAAATACTACCCTAAAGAAATAGATCTAGTTCTGTTCTGAATTATACAGGTCTGGATGAAGAATTTTAGGTCTATAAACGGTCATTAGTACCTCTCCCGTTAAAGAGTTTGCTTTGCTTGTTTTGCAAAGTTTTTCAGACTGACCCAGAGCAGCTCACAAATGCTTGAGGTAGGTTGTGCTGAGAGGGAGCAAGACTGGCCCCAAATCCCTCAGCCAGTTTTTCATTCCTAAAGTGGGACTAGAACTCACAGCCTCCTGATTTCTAGGCAGCACCTTAACCACTAGATCAGATAATTATAAAATCATCTGCAGTCAGCAGTAACTGAAGACAAATACGGGGGTACAAGAAACTGAGCCCTCACCTAAACAGGAAATAGGTCTCAATTACATTTAAAAATGGAAATCGGGCAGCCTGCTCAAGTTCTTGGACGGAAATACTCTATGTCCAAACTCCTCCAAGGATCCTCCTTCCTTGCATCAGGAGTCAGATAGCATCTTTTCTGACTAACAGACCTTATAAGGCATCCATACACACACACACACACACACACACATGCATGAGCATATGTACATGTGTATGTGTGTCTGTATATATAGAATAGAATAGAATAGAATAGAATAGAATAGAATAGAATAGAATAGAATTCTTTTTTGGCCAAGTGTGATTGGACTCACAAGGAATTTGTCTTGGTGCATACGCTCTCAGTGTACATAAAAAGAAAAGATACGTTTATCAAGAATCATAAGGTACAACACGTAATGATAGTCATAGGGTACAAATAAGCAATCAGGAAACAATATCAATATAAATCGTAAGGATACCAGCAACAAGGTTACAGTCATACAGTCATACAGTGGGAGGAGATGGATGATAGGAACGATGAGAAGATTAATAGTAGTGCAGACTTAGTAAATAGTTTGACAGTGTTGAGGGAATTATTTGTTTAGCAGAGTTATGGCGTTTGGGAAAAAACTGTTTTTGTGTCTAGTTGTTCTGGTGTGCAGTGCTCTATAGCGTCGTTTTTAGGGTAGGAGTTGAAACAATTTATGTCCACGATGTGAGGGGTCTGTAAATATTTTCACAGCCCTCTTTTTGACTCGTACAGTATACAGTATACAGTATATATATATGAGTATGTGTACATATGTATGTGTATAAATATGTATGTATATGTCTTCTTAAGTTTTCGCGAGTGTGCATATGCAAAAAATTAAAATCTCGGGTGTTTTCCCGCATCATTGTAAACAATGATGTGGGAAAACACCCAAGATTTTAATTTTTTGCTTATGTATGTATATGTATATATATATCCACAATTACACGGGAAGAAACCCGAAATATTAACTATACACACACACACACATATATATATACACACACACACACATATATATACATATGCATACATATATACATGCATACATACATACTTATATACATACATACATATATATATATAGAGAGAGAGAGAGAGAGAATATATAGTGCGTGTATGTATACTATAATACTATATAATACTAGATAGATAGATAGATAGATAGATAGATAGATAGATAGATAGATAGATAGATAGATAGATAGATATAGGGATAGGGATAGGGATATAGATATAGATATATAGATATAGATATAGATATAGATAGATAGATATGGATATACACACACACATTACAGACGCTATGCTGGCTGCTTCTGCCCACTGGGCTCCGACCGACTTCCAGCAAGGAATTCCTCGCCAGCCTCCCGTGAAATCCCTGGAATTTCCGGGGAAGATGTGGCTTGACTTGGAAGCCCCGGGTCACGTGACTTCCAGGGCCGACTTAAAGACTTCGCTTGGCAGGTCGGCCGTGGGCATCCCGCGCGCGCGAAGGGAAACTTAACTTGGCGGGGCAAGGCTTTAGCGGCGCTCGCTGCCCGTGGACCTCGGGGATAAAGCGACGCGCGAAGCGATTCCGCCTTCCGGGGCCTGGAAAACCTCCGAGCGTCTCCTTCCTGCAAACCCCTCCCGGCCGCCTCGCTTCTTTCCAGCCCCTCCTGAAAGGATGGGGGCAGGCGCCTTGGCCATCTGTGTGAGTACGGGCTGCCTTGGCGCTCGGTAGGCGGTAGGCGTGGAGAGCGGGGGAAAGAAGGCCGGGGGGTGTGGGGAGGGGGGGGGTTCGTGTTTTTGCACGCGGGCGAGCAAGCGTGCATGCAGCAGGGGGAGGTGGGCGAAAGCGCGCGCGGGTTTGAACGCCTTTGCTGCGCTACTCGGTGAATGCGCGACCCTCTGGATTGTTATTCGCTGTAGCTGCCCTGCCGGGGTTAAGCGGTCTGTTTTACTTTATTGTTGGAGATATTTGCCATTTTTTTCTCCTGGCCTCTTATTCTAATAATATAATTATTATATTATAATATATTGCAATATATATGTAATATAATATATATTATAATCAGGAACCATTGCAATACAGGTAGTCCTCGATTTACGGCTACAACGCAGCAGCAATAACAGTTCGGTGACGGCCGCAAAGGCCGGCAAAAGTTCAGTTGCTAAGCGAGACATTGGTCAAGTGAGTTTTGCCCCCGTTTTACCATCTTTCTTGCCACGGTTGTTAAAGGAATGTGGCTTACTCCGTTGACTTCTTCTTGGCAGGTGGTCGCAAAAGGTGAGATCCTGTGACCCTGGGGACACTGCCACTGTCATAAATATGAGTCGGTGATGGCCAAACGTTTCAATTTTGATCAGGTGGCCGTGTTGAAATATTGCAGAGTTTGTAAGTGTGAAAAAAACGTGTCGTAAGTCGCCTTTTTCAGTCCCGTTGTAACTTTGAATGGCCACTAAAGGAGTGCTTGGTGCTCTCTGAGCTTGCTTGTTTTCTTGCAGAGGTTTCATTACCCTTAACTAGGTAACATCATCAGTGCTAGTCTAGTCTAGCACTGATGATGTTACCTAGTTGGGTAATGGAACATTTGCAAGAAAACAAGCAAGCTCAGAGAGCACCAAGGATCCCCTCATTTCAACCCTGAACTACAAATATTTATTTATTCATTCATTCATTCATTCATTCATTCATTCATTCAATTTATATGCCACCCCTCTCCAAAGACCCAGGGCGGCTCACAATACACTCAAAAAATCACTATAAAAACACTTAAAAATTAAAAACATTAAAACCCATTCACACCATTCATGGCCGGATCTCGTCACTTGGTAGTACAGTGGTCTAAGGCACCCTGTTATTAAGCTGGTTATTAAGACCAGCTGCCTGCAATTACTGCAGGTTCGAATCTCGCCAAGGCTCAAGGTTGACTCAGCCTTCCATCCTTTCTAAGGTAGGTGAAATGAGGACCCAGTTTGTGGGGGCAATAAGCTGACTTTGTATAAATATACAAAAGGATGAAGGCTATTGCTGAGCACATTGTAAGCCGCCCTGAGTCTTCGGAGAAGGGCGGCATATAAATCAAAAAAAATTTTTTTAAAAAAAAGCAAGATCAACGGCCCCAGGCCTGCTGGAAAAGCCAGGTCTTCACCGCTTTTTGGAAGGCCAATAGGGTGGGGATGGTCCGGACCTCAGGAGGTCAATGGTTCCAGAGGGCAGCCACAGAGAAGGCCCTCCCCCGCGGGCCCACCAGCCGGCATTGTTTAGCTGACGGGACCCGGAGGAGACCAACTCTATGGGATCTTACCGGTCGCTGGGAGCTATGCGCTAGAAGACGGTCGAAAAGAGAAAAGAGAAAATATTCTCCTTTATTGGTCACTGAAGGAGCTGTTGTAAGTCAAGGGCTACCTTTATAGATTTACCGTAAGGGCAGAGGAGAATATTTGTAGCTCAGGATTGAAAGGAGGGTTACTTGGTGCTCTCTGAGCTTGGTGGTTTCCTTGAAGACATTTCATTACTGGAAAAAAGCAACTTTGGGACACCCATGATCTGGATGATTAAGAATCTCCATAGACATTATGCATTGATTACATTACCTAGTTTGAGTAATGAAACGTTTGCAAGGAACCAACCAAGTTCAGAGAGCATCAAAGATCTCTTATAGCCTCCTGGGACAGATGTTGCCTCCCATAAACATCAGGAAAGGGTTTGTTTTGTTTGTAGGTATTATTTTTAGCTCTGGGAAATCGTTTCTTGATTCAGTATTTATTCAGTAGCATTTGTGTCCATGCCTGGAAAACTACAGTAAAGTGAGATCTGGTCCAGCTTGTGGTGTTGTTGTTTTACCTCTGTTGGATTTTATTACTGTTTTGAAAAGTTATTTCAGTGCTAGCCTGTCGTTCAGGAATTTGCAGCATTTGATTTCACAATCATTTCACAGTTGCACAAATGGCAGTCTGCATGTTTTAGAAGAAGAGGCGTGAGGGAAATGTGTTTGGCTTCTCTAAATAGGATTTCCCCTTATGTGAGGACTCCTGATTTGGGGATTTTACTGTTCTTTTTGCTGAGATAATTTTGTGGGTAAAAGTGATTGAAATTGTCAGGCCGTTGATTTCTAAAGCAAGTGCTTGCACGTCTGCCTGCAGGATGAAGAGGCTTGAAGTAGTGATTATAAACGTGCCACTTGTTGCCTGTTTGCAGAATCACTTTTTAAACAATCAGAAGCAGGCAAGATTTAACACGATTTGAAACACTGTTTGTTCAGTATAGATGGTTCAGACAGGCATATGAAGATCTGCTGTTCCCTTATAGCCTACTCGTTCTCAGTAGAAAGAAATGGATTCCATTAAATGGAGAAAAGATCATACTGCATAAAAGATATAAGGTCATCCTTGCCTTATGACCACAATTGACCACAAAGTTTCCATTGCTAAGCAAGAAAGTTGTTAAGTGAATTTTGCTCCTTTTTTGCCACAGTTGTTTGTTTGTTTGTTTGTTTGTTTGTTTATTAGTTCGATTTATATGTCACCCTTCTCCGTAGACTCAGGGTGGCTTAAAATGCGTTAAGCAATAGCCTTCATACTTTTGTATATACCTGCTTAGTAGGGCTTTCGCCCCCCCCCAAGCGCTGTTCTTTTTTATACAAAGTCAGTTTATTGCCCTCACAAACCTCGAAAGGATGGAAGGTAGAGTGAATCACTGCAGTTGTTAAGTTAGTAACGCAATTGTTACGTGAACCTGGCTTCCCCATTGATTTTGCTTCTTAGAAGGTCGCAAAAGGTGATCACATGACCCCAAGACACCACAGGCATCATAAATACATGCCAGTTATACAAGCATCCAAATTTTGATCATGTGACCACTGGGATGCCGTAACGGTTGTAAATGTGAAAAACGGCCATAAGTCACTTCTTCACTGCTGTTGTAACTTCAAATAGTCACTAAACAAATGGTGGTAAGGAGTACGTGTATACAAATTGCATATATTCTGTATTCTTTCTCATAGTCTTATCTGCATTTTAATATGGGTGATTTACATAGGTATCAGATTTATTGCTAACTATGGGTTTGGTGCTATCTCAAGGTTGCCATTATGGCCAAGGATTAGGGTTACTTAATCATAGCATGCTTAAATTGAAAATCTCTGTCTATAAAGGTGTACAGCAACTGTAGGGAGCTTTGAACAAAAAGATTGGAGACTATATGGGGAGAGTATCAGAGAAGATAGGTGTGCAAAGCCAGGGATTGTTCCCAGTTTCCTGAAAACAGATGAACAATATCAGCTGTAGTAATTTTTATAAGCAGTGTATAGAATTTAACTCCCAGCTAAATTATAACATGAATACTCATACCTGAGTAACCCAATAGGAAATTCCACCTCTGTAGACTACATAGAATTAAAAAAAAAATAAGTAATAATCCCAGAAGTTGATTTTTCAGGTAAAATTATATTTTAGGCATTGTTTTTTATTTATATTTGCTGATATATGTATATGGCTGCTTTAATTATATACAGCTTAAAAATCAGTGTTTCTCAAATGTGGTAACTTTAAAATGGTGACTTCAAATAATTAGAATTGAAGGTGGGGTAAGGAATGGGTGCATGGGCCTTTCCCCCCATGCCTCTGTCTCCTCATTAGATATAGTGGACCCTGCATACAATGATCTGTTTGGCTGTACTGGGGGTGGGCCTGGCTTCTGTCCCCCTCTTGGGACATCTGGGGTCAGGAATGGAGGCTGCAACATTGATGCTGATAGAAGCAATTGTAAAGGTGCAAGCACAGAGTACGGTGAATTGAAATAATTCTCTGAGCAGTCCTACCTTTCTTTTTTTATTTCTTTGATTCCTTTGTTCTCTCCCTCCCTCCTTCCTTCTTTCCTCCCTCACTTTATTCTTTTTTCCTTTCTTTTTTCTTTTCCTGTCACTCTTTCATTCATTTTCCTTTCCTTCCCCTTCCCCTTCCCCTTCCCCTTCCCCTTCCTCCCCCTCCCTTCCTCCCCTCCCTCTTTCTTTCTTTCTTTTCCTTCCTTCCTTCCTTCCTTCTTTCTTTCTTTTTTCTTTCTTTCTTTCTTTTCTTCTTTCTTTCTTTCTTTCTTTCTTTCTTTTTTCTTTCTTTCTTTCTTTTGTCTTTCTTGGTGCATCCCTCAGGCCTTGTCTAGAGATGCCAGAACGTGACTTTTGGCCTGGGCAACCCTTCCCTAATGAGACACTGAGATAATTTTTTAATTTACAAGCATGACGTTCTACTACAGGGCAGACTGCCTACAAGGATGGAAAATGCCACACCTGTCTGTGCACGGCTGTGTTACAAATCCACCTTTCAAGTGTTGTGTTACCACAGTTAGACTTGATCTGTCCTTTGCCGTTGCATAATATTACATCTATGTTTACACTCATTTTTCAGAGAACCAGCGCCCCATTCATTGAATACATTTAATTTCCGCTCCTCCCATAGTTTCCTCTGGTAATGCAGCTTGAATGTTTCTAAGTTATCCACTCAGTTGCTTGGCTACGGATTCAGGCCACTCCTTATTGACTTTCTTTTTTCCTGTTCAACCAGGGTGTCTGTGTTTGCATCTGTGCATGGGATCTCTCCCAGATCTTTTTAGAAGGCCTATCTGGAATTTCGACCTCAGGGAAGCTTCTGTTCCATAAAACCCACAGAGTTGATCCCTCCAGTTCCCTCGGAAGGGTGTGATTTGTGAAGCCATGCCACCTCCCGTCGTCACTCTGACCGGGTGTTCTCCCTTTTTGTGTCCTTTCAAGCAAAGTAACTCAGCGGTCAAGCTTAAAGAAGATATGAAAAAGAATGCCGTCCTGTCCCCGAGCAGACAGAAGGGATCCTGTCACCACCGGAGGTTGTTTGGCGCTAGTCTTCAGGAAATGCAGCAAGAAGGGCTGAGCAAGTGTGGCATCCCAACAGTAGTGTGGGATATTGTAGAATATCTGTCTTGGCACGGTAAGCTATTAGCAAGTTCTTTTAAAAAATAAAAGGAAAACGTGTATTTCTAAGCTAAGATTTCCCAACCTTGGTCACTTTAAGAGGGGTGGACTTCAACTCCCAGAATTCCCCAGCCAGCATGCTGGCTGGGGAATTCTGGGAGTTGAAGTCCACCCCTCTTAAAGTGACCAAGGTTGGGAAATCTTAGTTTATGCTGGCTGCGGAATTCTGAGAGTTGAAGTCCATCCCTCTTAAAGTGACCAAGGTTGGGAAATCTTAGTTTATGCTGGCTGCGGAATTCTGAGAGTTGAAGTCCATACCTCTTAAAGTGACCAAGGTTGAGAAACTATTCTGTACAAAGGGAATGCATTTTGTTTTGTTTCCACTTTTAATTTTGGTTAACTCAAGACAGCCTATTTTAAAAAACGTTCACACCTCATATTTTTTGTCCAACGACGACCCTGTGAGGTAGGTAAGACAGATTGGTCCCCAGTCAGCTGTCACCGATTTTCAGCCTGCTGTGATGTCCCGTCTTCTCCACGGTTTCAGAGGAAAAAACATTTTACTGGTGCCAAATGTTTTATAAATCACAGCAAAGAGCAAAAAGTTCAGGTGGTTGAGAGAAGCTTTTCCCCAAAATGACGAAGACAACCAAAATGATGGAGGGGAGAGGAGGCATGGGGCGTGGTCTTTGAACCCTTTGCTTTCAAAAGAGGCTAGAATCCTTGGGACGCCTTAGCTTAAATCCGTGTAGCTCAACCTTAACAACTTGAAGATATATGGATTTCCACTTCCCAAATTCTAGCTGGAGAATTCTGTGAGACTGAAGTTTATACAGATAGCCCCCGACGTACAAGCACAATTGAGCCCCACAACCTCTGTTGCTAAGTGAGACAGTTGTTAAGTGAGTTTGGTTCCATTTTACGATCCTTCTTGCCACGGTTGTTAAGTGAATCACTGCAGCAGTTAAATTAGTAACACCGTTGTTAAGCGAATCTGGCTTCCCTGTTGTCTTTGCTTGTCAGAAGGTTGCAAGAGGTGATCGCATGACACTGGGACTCCCTGGGACACTGCAACCGTCATAAATATGAGTCGGTGGCCAAGCCTCTGAATTTTGATCACATGACCATGAGGATGCTGCAATGGTCATAAGTGTGAAAAATGGTCATATAAGTCACTTTTTTCAGTGTTAACTTGGAACAGACATTAAACAAGGTATTGTGAGTCAAGGACTATCTGTATGTCTTAATATTGCTGAGGTTCAGAAATACAAGTAGTTCTTGACTTACGACTGCTCTCTTAGTGACTGTTCAAAGTTATGATGAACCCCGTTATAACCCAGTTCTGATGGCCACTCCCCCTCTGTAGTCATGTGACTGCATTTCAGACACTCAGCAACCTGTTTGCATTTATGGCTGTTTATGACACATCTGGATTGTGCCGGATTAAAGAAGACTTGAAATCAAACTTGTTTCTCTACAATATTTTCATGTTCTCCAGCAGATGGCAGACTGGGATTTCGGTTCATTCTGAACATTTGTTTTTTTCCCCTTGATTAACCTTGTTAGATGGGTGAAATGGAATGGAGAGATTGTAGTTCACTTAATGTGTAAATCAAGTGGGATTTGAACACTGGCTTTCGCATCTTAGAAATTGTTCTTCACTGTGGCCTCTGCTCCACTATGTTATTTATTAAATATAGTTACAGAAGTTTCAAGTCCTTTTCTAGAAGCTCTGAATATCAATGGCTTTGTGGATAGTCTTCTTTCCTTAGCTGTACAGGTAATCCTCGACTTACGGCCAAAATTTCTGTTGCTAAGGAGGCCATTGTTAAGTGAGTCGTGCCCAATTTTATGATATGTTCCCATGTTGTTAAGTGAATCACTGCCATTATTAAATGAATTTGGCTTCCCTCGTTGACTTTGTTTGTCACAAGCCAGCTAGGAAGATCACAGATGGCAATCACATGACCTGAGGAAACTTCCACCGTTAAAAACTGCATTTGGGTTGCAAAGTGTTCAAATTTGGATCACATAACAGAAGATTTTGCATGGGTTGTAAGGGTCATAAATCACTCTTTCCACTGCTGTTGTAACTTAGAATGGTCACTAAGTGAATGGCTGTAAGTCAAGCTGGCAGGAATAGCCAACACTCCAGAAGATAGGCTTGACAGAGTTGAACATTGGGTGCTATCTAACAAAATGTGAAATTCAATGGTAAAAAAAGTAAGGTTCTACATTTAGGCAAGAAAAACAAAATGGACAGGTATAGCGTATGTGGTATCTCGCTCAATAGTAGTAATTGTGAGAGGGATCTTGGAGTCCTAGTGGACAATCACTTAAATATGAGCCAGCAGCGTGCTGCAGCTGCCAAAAAAGCCAATGCATTTCTAGGTTGCATAAACAGAGGGATAGAATCAAGATCACATGAAGTGTTAATACCACTTTATAATGCCTTGGTAAGGCCACACTTGGAATACTGCATCCAGTTTTGGTCGCCACAATGTAAAAAAAGATGTTGAGACTCTAGAAGAGCAACAAAGATGATTAGGGGACTGGAGGCTAAAACATATAAAGAACAGTTGCTGGAATTGGGTATGTTTAGTCTGATGAAAAGGAGGACTAGGGGTGACATGATAGCAATATTCCAATATCTCAGGGGCTGCCACAAAGAAGAGGGAGTCAAGCTATTCTCCAAAGCACCCAAGGGCAGGACAAGAAGCAATGGGTGGAAACTAATCAAGGAGAGAAGCAACTTAGAACTAAGGAGAAATTTCCTGACAATGAGAACAATTAATCAGTGGAACAACTTATTTATTTATTTATTTATTTGTTTCCATTTCTATACCACCCTTCTCCAAATAGGACTCAGGGCGGTGAACAGCCAGAGTAAAAAACAGAACATACAAAATTTAAAAACAGTTTAAAATAATTAAATATTTTGGCCTTGCTTCCAGAGGTTGTGAATGCTCCAACACTGGAAGTTTTTAAGAAGAGATTGGATAACTATTTGACAGAAGTGGTGTAGGGTTTCCTGCCTAAGCAAGGGGTTGGACTAGAAGACCTCCAAGGTCCCTTCCAACTCTGTTATTCTATTTCTAAGGAAGAACTACTATCTGTAGTTCTTTCGGAGATCCAAGGAAGGAAGCTACTTTCTTTGAAGGCTCATTTCCTAACATTAGTGAGAAAACGTGTAGCATTGTCCGTTCTCATGTTAACTTCCTATGTGCAGTTTTTCACCAATGGGGCTTTAAAAAATGCAACTGTGCATCTTCAGCTATGCTGGCTCAGGAATTCTGGAAGTTGAAGTCCACAAGTCATAAAAGGGCCATCGTTTCCCCATCCCTGCTTTAGTGCTCTTTCCAACCTGCTCCTGAATGTACAGCCTGGATCTCAGTTTCCTGGTCCAGAAAGGTGGAGAGCACCTGGTTTTATGAGTTTTGCCATCATTTGTTCTATCTGCTTTTTTGTTTTTAATGCAGGCCAGGAAATCTGCCACTGGTCTTATCTCATTTTATGTATGTAATTACAGGTCTCGAGCAGGAAGGTCTTTTCAGGGTGAACGGTAACCTGAAAACAGTGGAACAGCTGCGCATGAAGTATGAGGGTGGAGACCAAGTAGATCTCGCCACAGAGGCTGACGTAAGCTCAGCCGCCAGTTTGCTGAAGTTATTTCTGCGGGAGCTGCCAGATCGGGTGATCCCTTCTGCCCTTTACCCCAAATTCATCCAGCTTTATCAAGGTGATGGTTTCTCATCAAACATATATCCTTACTGTGTGGTCTGCTACTTTTACTGTTGTTTTTTTTAAAAATGATATATATCATTGCTTCTGACAGGATTCCGTAGAATCCTGTCAGAATTATTTTGTAGAAACCCCTTTTGCAGAAATGGCGTGACCTATAATACTTCATATTCACATGAAAACAAAATTACAGGGGTGAATAAGTCTACCCTATACTTTATGTGGAACTTTAATTAAATAGAGTGATTGCTTTGGAGCAGCTTATTTTGATTATTGCAGATTAAGAAGCCTAGCAGCTCCATGGTGAAGCAGATAAGTTGTATTTAGAACAGCTCCCTCATATTTTTAAGTGAGCTCCCTTGTATTTTTTTTTTTTTTGTAGGCTTGAAATACCCCGTTTCCCCGAAAATAACACCTATCCTGAAAATAAGCCCTAGCATGTTTTACATGTGCACCTAATATAAACCCTACCCCCAAAATAAGAGCCTTATTTTGCCTTAAGAGCCTGCGCGGCCAGCCAGCCAGCCATTCCATCTGGTTGCTGGTGGTGCCGCTGCCACAAGTCGAGACAGGAGAGGTGGTGGAGCCTGCCTGCGGGGGGGGTGGGGCAAGGTAAGCCGGTGCGGGCATGTGGGGCAGCTCCAGCCGCTGCCTCGCGGCAGCACCACTAACACACCACGCGGTCTCCTGCTGCAAGGAAGCAGAAGAAGTGGGCCTCCCGTACATGGGAAAAAAATAAGACACCCTGGAAAATAAGCCCTAGTGCTTATTTTGGGACCCAAAATAAAAAAAGCCAGTCTTATTTTCGGGGAAACACGGGTATATGCTTTGGAGAATCCGTTTTGTGTGAACTGTTTTCTATGCTAGGTGAACTGATTTGTTCACTTTACTCATACTTCACATTAAGCTATAATTTCTTATTAAAAAATTTTAAAAAAAATATTCCACAGTTGACTGGTTTACCTTGCTATGTAAGCAATAAAGAATAACTTAGAAAGCAGAGTTAATGAGCCACATAACATGCTAAACTGCAAAAGTCCAAATATATTAATATATTTCTACAGTATGTACCGTATTTTTGATATACTAAACCATGCTTGATTTTAACCATGGCTGAGCCATCGTGACATGATTCTGACTCTATTATTCATCACCTGGAATGGCTGTTAAGCCCAAGCCAGACCAGTCACATTAAGGTATACAGTAACTAGATGCATCCATGTAGAAAATATTAAACTAATCTTTATTTTTCTACCCCTGGAGAATAATTTTCTTGGAAAGAACCTGCAGTTCAATTAAAACTCTTCATCTTCATTTTAATAGAAAAAAACATGTCACTGCTCAGTGTATTCTTTTGCAATCTTTCAATATTTTTCAATCTTTCTTTCAATCTCTTTCCCTCCTTCCCTCCCTCCCTCCCTTCCTTCCTTCCTGTATTTAACAAAATTACAGAGTTGGAAGAGGACTCTTCTTTTCCAAACCCCTACTCAACACCCTATGCCAGTGATGGTTAACCTTTTCGGCACTGAGTGCCAAAACTGGAGCACGCACACATCGGAGTGCCAGAACCTGGAAGAGAGCAGCTGGCCTGTGCACATGCATGCAGCAGCCAGCTGCTCTTCCGGGTTTCATCACATGCATGTGCGCCAGACAGCTGCTGTATTTGGGTTCCAGCATACGCATGCGCGCTGGCCAGATGGTCTTCGTGCGAAGACAATGCGTGCAACAGAACCCAGAAGAGCAGCTGGGGACAGCGCTCGTGCCCACAGAGAGGGCTCTGTGTGCCACCTCTGGTCCGCGTGCCACAGGTTCGCCATCACGGCCCTATACCATTTCAGACAAATGGCTGTCCAGTTTCATTTGCAAAATGTTGGAATTCTTTACGCTGAGGTTGCAAATGGCTGATCTCTCAGAATCCAGAACAACCTTGCAGTAAAAAAAATAAAAAATGGCCTTGTTAAGTGCTATTCTGGGCTGTCTCGCTGCTCAGCTTTCAGTCCTGCTTGTCCCCTTGTCCCCAGGTATGTTTTTCTGATAAAATCAGTGTCCAACTGTTTGGATATAGGCTTTGTTTCCATAAACACTTCATTCAACAAGACCTGGTTATGTATTGCACTACCCAAGTAATAACACTAAAGGAACATTTGCTTATGTAGTGTTTACAGAAAAAACAAGCTGTAATTTAGGAAGTGGGTTAGAGGACTTTTCCAGCATGGATTTAAAGGAAGTTATATTGAAGAAATGAACAAATGCACAAGTTCCGGAAAATCAAATGAACCATATATGCATCTTCTCTATACAAATTCCTTTTCAAATATAGCAGGCATATTTTATTGTGCATGTGTCTTTATATTTCCATTAAAATCTAAATTCTCATCAATGGCCTTGGTAGCTAGGGCACTCGCACAGTAGAAGGCTAACCACCAGGGGTATGTGTGTCCAGATTGGGAAATGCTGAGTTACATAAACCGTTGGTCTGACCAACAGGGTTGCTATCATGGACTTCTGCAGGAACATCCTGCTTATCAGAGGTGGTATTCAGCCGGTTCGGACCAGTTCAGGCGAACCGGTAGCGGAAATCGCAGGTGCCCAACCTCCCCGGCTCTATGCTGTCCTATTTAGGCATGTTTTTTAGCCCGGGCGCATGCGCGGAAGGCACACGGGCGAGCAAAGCACATGTGTGGAAGGCCGGGCGCAAGTGCAGAAGGCAGGCGTGCTCACAAACCGGGCATGCGTGTGCGCGAAGCAAAATGTGAAACCCACCGCTGCTGCTTATGTTTCCTTCCCCCTTGCTACTTTCAATGCAGACACCACTGTTTTGTTTATTTATGGCAAGAACAGTGTGCGAGGTGCAAACCCAGGCATCCTAATTTAATATTACAGGTAGTCCTTGACTTACGACCACAGTTGAGCCCAAACTTTCTGTGGCTAAGCTAGAAAGTTCTTAAGTGAGTTTTGCTCCATATTACCACCTTTCCTACCACCGTTGTTAAGTGAATCACTGCAGTTGTTAAGTTAGTAACATGGTTGTTAAGTGAATCTGGCTTCCCCATTGATTTTGCTTGTCAGAAGGTCGCAAAAGGTGATCACGTGACAACACCAGGACACTGCAACCGTCATAAATACATGCCAGTTGCCAAGCATCCAAATTTTGATCACACCGGGATGCTGCAGTGGCTGTAAGTGTGAAAAACAGTCATAAGTCACTTTTTTTAGTGCCATTGTAACTTTGAATGGTCACTAAAAAAATGGTTGTGTAGGAGGTTAGCACCCACCCCTTTCCTAGAAGAATGAAATATTTTAGGAAATATTAAAAAGGCAGAATATTATGTTTCCCTGTATGAGAAATGGAGAAGCATGTTTTAAAGACAAAGCAGCTCCCACCTTCCTGCCACCCCATCCTTTGTCAATGGACCATCATCTGCAACACAATAGGACCCATCTAGCAACAGAAACTAACACAATAGGACCCATCTAGCAACAGAAACTCACCACATGGCACCTGAGAAGATTACATCAGCCAGCAAGGCTAGCTAAGACCCCCACCCCCTGGGAGTCTGACATCCAATCAGGATACTCTTTCTGGGCCCCAGGAAATTCAAAGCCAGAGAGGACATAAAACCTGGGGACTCACTGTGTCTCGCCCCTTTTCTGTTCAGGAACTCAAAGCATGTGATCCTGTCTACCATTAAACTATCTTTCCAAGCAGTCTCCATGTTTCCAGTGTCTTTTTCCCCACTTGGAGCTGAACCCAGAAGGATATTTTTTCTAACAGTTGTAAGTCAAGAACTACTTGTATATGGGAAAGCCAAGCTAGAATAACTTTTTCAGCATATCAGGGTTAAGAAATCTTAGTTTTAAGTGTGAAGTGGACCAGTATAATAGACTTCCCATATTTCCGTAAGCTCAGATTTCCTCTTTTATTTCTTCAAAGTTTAGAAAGAAATGAGTTTTTTTTCCCATTGTTGGACTGATCTTACTTCCTTAAGCAAGAGCCAAAATACATGTTGCAAACTTGCCAGTTAGTTTAAGGATACCAAGGTCAGGTTGGCACACAATGCTGGTGGTTTTTTCTTAGCAGAATGTATGAACCAAATGAGTGTTTGTTTATCAAACTTGCACATCACTCACCTACCAGTGACTTTGGGAGGCTTAGCATTTCGTGACACAGCATTGAATGTGACCCAGACAATTGTGATTTGGTCAAGCTAAGGCTTTCTGTAATGCCTGCACCAGGCCAGTGCACTTCACCATGACGATAAATTGTTTAGTGGTGAACTTTATCTAAATAATAATACAAAGACTCAATTATGAGCCCCGGGATCCAATCTGTTTCATAAGGAAGCAGGTTTTCTGGCTATCTGCCTGATTAGGAAATACTTTGGACAGCTAATTGCCTCCTACAAGCTCCCGCTGACTTTTCAGCTGATTCTGTATTTTTCTATTTTAACAAAGGCCTTTTATAATTTTGTGGAAAACCAGCCAGATGCTAATCTCTTTCAAGATAAAAGTACTTTGTAGTCAAGGTAGCTATAATCAAACTGTTTACTTGGTTTATATTGAAGAAGCTGGATTCAGCAGGCCTAGCTTCACCTTTTCATTTGATTCAGTATTCTGTAGAGAAGGGGTGTCCAAGCTTGGCAGTTTTAAGACCTGTGCACTTCAGCTTCCAGAATTCTGGTTGGAAAATTCTGGGAGTTGAAGTCCACAGTTAATGTGGATAAAAGAAAGGAATCATACAGAGTCAGATACATGAGCTCTAAAGGACCCTCTCTATTCACATTATTATAAGGGGAAGACATGTTTAGATACATGAACTCTGAGGGACCCTCTCTATTCTCATTATTATAAGAGAGAAAAGTGCTTGCTTGGAGATTACATTAAAAGCAGCTAAACCCCATTAAGTGGTAATATATCTTCTGATGAGACCTAGATGTCACGGAAGGACAGCCAGATGGAATACATCTGAATGGCCCCACTGTCAGATTCACAAAAAACAGACACAAGAAACAAAGAGTCACTTATTACCTCTTATTACCCAAGGACAGCAGTATATCTCCCATTAGCAACTACAAGCACTTAAGAAAGGTTGTCTAGCTAAAGATAATCTTATAAACTAAAATTAATGGTTTACTAATGGTTTAGTAATTAGGAAATGTGTCAATTATCATATGATAGGTATGTGTTAGCCATATATGGAAAATGTATGATTTTATGTTAACCATATATGGAAAATGCATGATCTCACCGAATCCTTTGTCTTAGAAATGTATAAAAACAGTTGTATCAGAGTTCTTTCCTGGTTCAAAGCTTCAGGTACAAATCTGGCTCTGAAGCTTGCGCAATAAAACTCTCTGGCTGACCCAGAAGTTTGGTCCCTTCATTCTACAACACAGTTTTTAAAATTTGCCAAAGTTGGACAACCCTGCTGTAGAACAATAGAAGAGAGAGAGAGAGAGAGATGTCGCAATCAACCAATTCCCACTTTGATTCTCAACTTCCCCAGCCGAGGTTCTTTCTATGAATTTGAACTTCTTCCTTCCTCTGTTTCCCATGTCTGTTTTTCTAGCCCCCGTTTAGCATGACATTTGACCTGGCAAGTTACAGTTAACTCATACTGCACAGTCATGGTTTGAAGAAAATTTGAAGGCCATGGTTTAGGGACAAAATGCTAAGCAGGAACAAATGTCATGCCAAACTGCAGTTGAAGTAAAACAGAAACATAAAGTCATAGTTTAGTTAAGGGACTTCCTTGGATGATAATCTTCACATTACTATCTGTTCTCTTTTTTAAACAAATTCCTTGCAGTTCATTTTTGCTGCTTTTGTGTGATATGTACCACGGAATAGGTACCCATATTTTTCGGAGTATAAGATGCACCTTTTTCCCCCAAAAAAGAGGGTAAAAATCTGGGTGTGTCTTATACTCCAAATGTAGCCCTGTCCGGCTTCTCAAATGGAGGTTTCAGAGGCTGAAAAAAGCATCAGAAAAGAAGCTTCAGAAAGAAAGCCCCCAAACAGAGCTTCAGAGGCTTTTTTTCTGAAGCTCTGTTTTGGAGGCTTTCAGAGGTTGAAAAAAAAGCAAGGCACACAGCTCACAACCGAGGAACCTGTTGCTAAAATTCACCTCTGGGAACAGCTGATTGGGGGTATTCCAGGAAGCCGATCCACCTGCCAATCAGCTTTTTTCTTATTTTCCTCCCCAAAAACTAAAGTGCGTCTTATACTCCGAAAAATACGGAATATCATGTATTCTTTCTCTTTACAGCCAGCCAGAAGTGTGGTCTGGAGACTAGCGATTTAAGAGACCTTCTGAGACAGATGCCCGAGGCTCACTATTGTCTCCTTAAGTATCTTTGCCACTTCCTGAAACGGGTTGCCGAGCATCATTCTGAGAACAAGATGACTGTTTCCAACCTTGCTACTGTTTTTGGACCAAACTGTTTTTGGTAAGCTCTTTCCAGATTCATATTTTCTTTCCTTAGCTGAGGGAGTCTCCAGTTGTGGGACAGACCCGATGTAGGGACCCCACAGAATCACTGCTAGACAATGTACAAAATAGTATGTTAGCATAGAGGCCATAGGGAATGGCCTTCCTCAAGAGCAGGGATGTAAAACTCAAGGCCCAGACAACTGCCAATTCTCAGAAATGAAAACATCTCAGACAAGCTCAGACAAGTTAATACCACTTTATAATGCCTTGGTAAGGCCACACTTGGAATACTGTATCCAGTTTTGGTCACCACGATGTAAAAAATATGTGGAGACTCTAGAAAGAGTGCAGAGAAGAGCAACAAAGATGATTAGGAGACTGGAGGCTAAAACATATGAAGAACGGTTGCAGGAACTGGGTATGTCTAGTTTAATGAAAAGAAGGACTAGGGGAGACATGATAGCAGTCTTCCAATATCTCAGAGGCTGCCACAAAGAAGAGGGAGTCAAGCTATTCTCCAAAGCACCTGAAGGAAAGACAAGAAGCAATGGGTGGAAACTAATCAAGGAGAGAAGCAACTTAGAACTAAGGAGAAATTTCCTGACAGTTAGAACAATTAATCAGTGGAACAACTTGCCTTCAGAAGTTGTGAATGCTCCAACACTGGAAGTTTTTAAGAAGATGTTGGATAACCATTTTTCTGAAGTGGTGTAGGGCAGTGGTCCCCAACCCCCGGTCCGCGGACCGGTGCCGGGCCATGGAGTACCTGGCACCGGGCCGCGCAGCGGCCAGGGGACATGAACGCTGCAGTGCAAAGGCTCCTGGGCCGTGCGCAAAAGCTCCTGGGCCGTGCGCAATGGGCCGTGCGCAAAAGCTCCTGGGCCGTGCCCCCACCCCTGCGCGCGCTCAGCGGGCCGCGGCGATAAAAAGGTTGGGGACCACTGGTGTAGGGTTTCCTGCCTAGGCAGGAGGTTGGACTAGAAGACCTCCAAGGTCCCTTCCAACTCTGTTTTTCTATTCTATTCTAAGCCCTTCCCTAGTTTACACCAGGATAAAGGGAAGGAAACACATTCAGACTTGCAAGAGTCTGTTGTTATAAAAACGATCCTGCCACTTATATGGCATTGGTTTCTTAGTCTGGCCTACCTGATAGGGCTGACAGGTACTTAGATAATGGCCTAATTGATCTTTTTGTGTGTCTAGCAGCTGTGTTTCAAAAATATTTGAATGCAAGCATTCCAGAGAGAAAAATAGGATTTTCTCATAGAACATCTCATTGTTTCGTAAAACATTATTTCATTTCAGGGGTATCTGACCCCAAAAGAACTGTGAATGGCTTATATTTTATAGAAGTCATATCCCTTTCCTTATCATTTGGGATCAGACTTAAAATGGCTAAACTTTTGTGTTATAAGGACATATTGCATACTAGGGTAATTTAGGCACTGTGTTTGTTTGAATTTCTTTTGATGAATAAACTGCTGCGATTTTATACATTGGTTTCTTCTCCTGTGATTATACATTAATCTCTTGCTCTTTTGGCACTATATTTTATAAATCAGGCGAAATCCATCTTGACTGTACGAATGCAGTTGTAGGATATAAAAACAATAAATCCTATGTTCTGATGCAAAAGACAGCAATATTTATACCCTGTTTCCCTGAAAATAAGACCCAACCAGAAAATAAGTCCTAGCATGATTTTTCAGGATGCTCGTAATATAAGCCCTACCCTCAAAATAAACCCCAGTTAAGATTGTCAGCCAGATGGGTGCATTTATTACCATATTTCCCAAAAAATAAGACCTAACCAGAAAATAAGCCTTAATGCATCTTTTGGAGCAAAAATTAATATAAGACCCGGTGTTATTTTCAGGGAAACACGGTATTATCAGGATGCTGTCCGAAAAAATAATGGCTATTTATTTATTTGATTTTTATCCCGCCTTTATTTCTTTTGTAAGTAACTCAGGGCAGCAAACATACTTAATGCTCCTTTCTCCCCCTATTTTCTCCACAACAACCCTATGAGGTGGGTTGGGCTGAGAGAGAGTGACTAGCCGAAAGTCACCCAGCCGGTTTTCATTGTTAAGGGGAACTGGAACTCCAGTCTCCTGGTTTCTAGGTTGCCACCTTAACCACTAAACCAGCCTCTTGGTTTCCACTGGCTCTTTTCTGTCCTTGTTCAAAAAAAATTCAGTGGGGTTAGAATTCGTTTGCTCCTTTCACAATAAAACAAGAATCTTTTTCTTTGAACTATTTTAATGTTGCTCTTAGTAAGTATGTTTGTTCCTTTTCTTTGCCACTCTGCACTGATGTTTTTCCTTGACCCTTGTGATTCCTTGTTTACAGTCCTGCGGAATCTGAAGAAGGTTGAGCAGTGGGCAGCAATGAAAAATCTCTCAGGGACTTTATTTGTGCCATGTGCAAATAGGGTTGTTGCTCTTATTTTGATATTTTCTGGCACAGTCTTTACTCTTTTTTAAAAAAAATAAAAAATAAAAAGCAAAGAGAAACGTTGAAAGAATTTAACCGGATGTCCTTTCCCCCTTCAGTTCTTCTAAATGGAATGCTTTCAGGTAGACTTTTGCAAGAGTTCAGGTTTTGGCACTTTGTTCGTTCAAAGTGTGAACAAATAACTCAGTGATGGAAGACTTGTTTTGAATAGTTTGGAAGAGCTGAGGTGGCGTAGTGGTTAGGGTGCAGTACTGCAGCTACTTCAGTTGACTGCTAGTTCAGCAGATCAGCGGATCAAATCTCACGGCTCAAGGTTGACTCAGCCTTCCATCCTACCGAGGTGGGTAAAATGAGGACCCAGATTGTTGGGGGCAATATGCTATTTAGTATACTGTCTTTGGTGTAAGCCGCCCAGAGTCCTCAGAGAGAGGGCGGCATAGAAATATGAATAATAAAAAATAAAATAAAAATAAAAACAATTTTAGGATCCTACACAGAAAGGTTGGAGGAGAACTTAGAGAGCGTGTTTCTCCGAAAATAAGACCCTGTCTTATATTTTTTTGAACCCTGAAATAAGCGCTTGGCCTTATCGCCATGGGCTCAAAAGCCCAATTGGGCTTATTATCAAGGGATGTCTTACTTTGGGGGAAACAGGGTAGGAGTAATCAATGCTGAATGTTGGTACTCATGGTGTCGTTCTTTTGATGTAGCTTCATGCAATTAACTAATTATGTAGAAGTCTGTTGAATTTGTGTTGTTGTTTAGTCATGTCCAAATCTTTGCAGCCCCTTGGACCATAACACACCAGGCCTCCCACTGTCCTCCACTGTCTCCCAGAGTTTGCCCAAATTCCATGTTCATTATTTTGATGACACTATCTAACCATCTCATCCTCCGTCGTCCCCTTCTCCTTTTGCCTTCAATCTTTTCCAACACCAGGGTCTTTTCCAATAAATCCCCTCTCACCTTCAAGCTCAACCTAGAACTGAAAATTCTGTTATTTATTTGTTTGTTTTTATATAGACCTACAGTATCAATTACGCTCACTTCTTGCAAAACTATCATTGCCGTCTTTAAACCTTCCTTTACAAGCAGCGAACGTTTGCTTTCAGTATATGTGGTAAAATAATCTCTCTGGGGAAATAAAATAATGAAATTATTCAGGAATAATTTTAATGGAGTATTTTAATGGAGTAGGTTCTAAGTATTTGGTTTTAGAAGTGATCTATTTCCGTGTCAGTAATTAGAGATAATTACCAGAGCTGATTTAACGTGTTATGTAATGACTGCATTTATTGAGATGGGGCAGTTAAAGGGAAGATTTATTATTATAGGAGCCTTGGTGGTGCAGTGGACTAAAGCGCTGTTAAAGTAGCACTTAGCTGCCAGCTGCCTGCAATTACTGTGAGTTCAAAACTCACCAGGCTCAAGGTTGACTCAGCCTTCCATCCTTCCGAGGTAGGTAAAATGAGGACAAAGTCAATAATATGACTTTGTATAAAAAAGAACACTGCTTGGGGGGCCCGAAAGCCCTACTAAGCAGGTATATACAAAAGTATGAAGGCTATTGCTTAACGCATTGTAAGCCGCCCTGAGTCTCCGGAGAAGGGCGGCGTATAAATCGAACCAATAAATAAATAAACAAAGATTTAAATAATAAAGCAGTGTGATTGGAAAAGAAAAGAGTAGTGGTGTCTCAGAATCTGAAATATGGGTTAAGCAATAAAATACAGTATCAAGAGGAATGTTTTTGGAGAACAAGTGAATCACAGGTTAAATGTCATGCTGAACTGAAAGCCAGCATACCTAGATGAAAAGAAATACAGGTAGTCCTCAAGTTATGACCCCAATTGAGCCGAAAATTTATGTTGCTAAGTGAGACATTTGTTAAGTGAGTTTTGCCCCATTTTACGAATTTTCTTGCCACAGTTGCTAAGTGAATCATTGCGTATGTTAAGTTAGTAACACGGTTGTTAAGTGAATCCAGCTTCCCCATTGACTTTGCTTGTCAGAAGGTCTCAAAAGCCGATCACATGACCCCATGAAATTTGATCATGTGACCATGTGGATACTGCAATGGTCCTTCCTTGTGTGAAAAACGATTATAAGTCATTTTTTTCCAGTGCTGTTGTAACTTTGAAAAGTCACAAAATGAACTGTTGTAAGTTGAGAACTACCATAAGTGGTTTTTGTACTGAACGGCGAGTTTGGGATACCATACTAATTTCAGTCCACTGCTTACTTTATTTGGACTCAAGTTTTTAAGTTTATTTCTTTGTCAAGCATATATAAGATTACAGGTAAAAAGTATAAACATAATTTGAATACATGAAAAGAGTAAGTAAAAAGGAATATTAGGACAGGAACGGTAGGCACGCTGGTGCACTTATACACGCCCCTTACAGGCCTTACAGACTCAGAAGCTAAGCAGGATTGGATCTGATGAGTACTTGAATGGCAGACTTTGAGTGAGCGTTAGGACTGTAGGCAGGACCAGGAAATCAAAGAATTCCAGAAGAAATGATGGGAAATCTTCATATTGCTGCTATGACAACTACA